ACAAGGAACTAAAGAAAAACTAGGGCTATATATATATATATATATATATACACACAGGGGGTTAACGAGCTTAACAAGATAAGACACACCTGGGGAGACTAATCAAGGGGAACCAATGAACAAACAATGAACAAACGGACTACAAACACCACGGGAGACAGGAAGTGACATAAAAGTCCAGGGCAAGGCACATAGAGCATGAAACAAAAACAAGAAATAGTTGATTTGTGAGGAGAGCAATCACGTTTATTTTCTAAAACCCAAAATAAAACTCAAAACCTCAAAATTACAAAAAAAAACAATATCTTTCAAAAAGGTCTCTTCAGTATAATGGATAAATAAAAATGTTAAGTAAAATTAAAAAGCCGAAGCCTTCTTCCACTGGCTGTACTGGTTTGGGCCTCATTGCCGGCTGCAGTCATGTCCTCATCTCATATATAAAACACATGTGATTCACAAATACTTGCTAAGGAACTCGCATTCACATAAAGTAGCCTTGTTGACAAGTTTGGGTGAGTAAGGGCAAAACGCACAAGATGCAGTACTTTCAGTGACCTGTAATAGGCATTATCATGTCTTTTGTAGCAGAAATAAACTGCTGCAGAAAAAGCTAAGTCCATGCCAAATGTAATGTGTAACTGCAACACTCATTTCAAGTGTAGTGGAGTAAAGAGTACAGATACAGATACTCATTCAAAAATGTAATGAAGTCTAGGGATACTTGTAGCAAAATTCAATTTGAAAATGCATTCCGAGCTGACCACGCCCACCCTCCGTCACTCATTGCTTCAAGGCAGGGATTGGCGGAAGCGTGTTACGTTTGGATCGTTTGTAACATGGCAGCTCAAGATCTGATAAGATCGCTGAATTCACTCGCAGATGAAGTGGAGCGTGAACAGAGAAATATATGAAGCTTATGGCGTTCGGACGCCATAGTATTCCAGACTATAAATGGACATTACAAGCATTACAATAATGATAAATAAAACTTTTTTTTTGTATAATTAATTAATTTAAATGAATGTTTCTAATAAACACATTTATAACAGAACCTCAAGTAAACTATATCCAATGTAGTGGAGTAAAGATACTCATTCAAAAATGTAGTGAAGTAAAGAGTAAAAGTTGCTAATATCTTTGATACTCAGTACAACTACAAAGTACCCGAAAAGATACTCAAGTGCAGTGACTAATTACATTTACTTCAATACTTTACACCTCTGATTATAGTTACTATTTTTCCATTTGAACTGAATGAAAATAAAGTAGTAAAAATAATTGGCTACAAATATGGTAACCATGGTACATTTTTGTAAAGGTAACAGGCTTTTTTTTGTCACCAAAGGTAATTGCAAAAATAATACCTGTGTTTGAGCTCTCAACACTCTTCTCACCTTGCCATTGGTTGGCTAAATAGATAACCCCGCCCCAAACTCATGTCATTGGTCGAGCCAGTTGGTATGAGATAAATAGATAGATGCATCAGTTCAATCAAGCAGACTTAGTACTAAAACATAATACTAAAAAACATTTACATGCTATATGAATTAGTTTAAATAAATGTTCTTTAACAGTAACTGTATTTTCTGTGGTAATTTTTCTCTACTCAGGTGACTGTTGGCTGTTAGCTGCCATTGCATCCTTGACTTTAAACGACAGGCTGCTTCACAGAGTTGTACCTCATGGACAAAGCTTTATGGACGAGTATGCCGGCATCTTTCACTTCCAGGTGCTCAGCCGACTGTTAATGAATGACAGAAATGTAGAACACACATTAGCAGATATAATACAAATACAAAGTTCTTACACTCTAAACTTCTGCTTTTCATGAATTATTTTTATTATTTACTATTTTAATATTTTCATTAACATTTTAGTTCACCCCAAAAATAAAGATTTGCTGAAAATGTACTCACCCTCTGGCCATCCAAGATGGAGATGAGTTTATTTCTTCATCTGAACAGATTTGGAGAAATGTATCATTACATCACTTGCTCACCAATGGATCCTCTGCAGTGAATGGGTGCCGTCAGAATGAGAGTCCAAACTGCTGATAAAAACATCAAAATAATCCACAAGTGCTGTAATTCAGATGACTCCAGTCCATCAGTTAACTTCTAGTGATATTTTTACCTTCATGTTTGTAAAGAAATCCATCATTAGGACATTTTAACTTCAAATCATTGCTTTCGGCTAAAATATGAGCCCTGGACTCATATTAAAATATGTACTGGAGGCGTGTGGATTACTTGTGGATAATTGTGATTTATTTTTTTTATCAGCTGTTTGGACTCTCATTCTTTATGATGGATAAAGGATGGATGGATGGATGGATCCACATCGTGGATGGTCATTTGCAGTCTGATTCATTATCAGCAAATTAAAATTTTTGGGTGAAATGTTTCTTTAATATAAATCTATTTTTATCAGTATTTGTTATACTAATATGTTTTTTTCCCCATGTTCTGCAGTTCTGGCAGTTTGGCGAGTGGGTGGACATTGTGATTGATGACCGTTTGCCTGTGAAGGATAAAGAGCTGATGTTTGTTCACTCAGCAGAGGGAAATGAGTTTTGGAGTGCCTTGCTGGAAAAAGCTTATGCCAAGTGAGTCTCTTAATCTCTTGTATTCTTTTCATATGATTATTAGGGACCATAACATGTGCGTATGTGCCTGTAGGCTGAATGGCTCATATGAAGCTCTTTCGGGAGGTTCCACCACCGAAGGCTTTGAGGACTTCACGGGTGGAGTGGCTGAGATGTATGAACTGCGTAAAGCTCCCAAAGACTTGCACCGCATCATTGCCAAAGCCTTGGAGAGAGGCTCACTGTTGGGCTGCTCTATTGATGTGAGTCCCCACAGTGCCTACTACAGGCCTGGAGACACAATGCAACATTTATGGAGCTAGTTACCCAGTTTTTTGTGTATTTGTCTGGTAGATCACTAGTGCCTCTGATATGGAGGCTGTAACCTTTAAGAAGCTGGTGAAGGGGCATGCATACTCCGTCACGGGTCTCAGAGAGGTCAGGATCACCTCTAAAATATATCTTGAGCTCATTATTTTACAATTTTAATTATTTGCATCTATATTTATATTTTAGGTGAATTTCCGTGGCAGCAGAGAGAGGCTGATCCGTATCCGAAACCCTTGGGGGCAAGTTGAGTGGACAGGAGCTTGGAGTGACAAGTGAGTTGACCAATCAGAATGAATTTGGATAGACTTTCTTATACAGGACATGTTCATAATGTAACACTTTTATTTCATTTTCAGTTCTTCTGAGTGGAATGGGATTGATCCAGCAGAGAGAGAGGAAATGAACAACCACATGGAGGATGGCGAGTTCTGGTAAATTTCCACAGAAATCTGGTATTTATGGTTCTCGCACCTTTAACTAGGCGCTGTGTATTAGGGCTAAGTGTCAGTCCCAAAAAGAATAATTTTTTTGATTCTGAGATGTTGGCATTCGAGAGTTGACTCCATGATGTGAGCAAGTCTGTGTCTGTTACCTTGATTACCAAACCACTACACATCCCAGCAGAGCTGTGACTGCTAATAATGAGGATTTTTATTTATCCCAGTCACTTGAATCTTTTGGTTCTGTTCACAGAATTGACTTGTTCAGATTCATTCACTGATTCAATCAGTGACTCTGTTGGTTACATCCTCAAGTTTTTTTGTTTTGTTTTCTGAGTGAGTCTTTTAGTCATTGACTTTTTTCATATGTATAAATTATAGTGTAAAAAGTGTATTTTTTCATAAAATTTGAGAAAATTAGTTTGGAGCCCTACTCTATGCACTAAATGATCATTTCCATTTCCTGTATAAATGTTGTATTTCCATTCATGTAATTTTACTGACGCTCTGTTCTCTGGCCACTTTAGGATGTCATTTCAGGAGTTCAAACGTCAGTTTTCTCGTCTGGAGATCTGTAACCTCACGCCAGATGCTCTGAGTGAAGATTCTCAAAATTTCTGGAACACAATTAAGTTTAACGGCACCTGGAGGAGAGGAAGTACAGCAGGGGGCTGCAGGAACCACCCCAGTGAGATCAATTCACCCAATTAAACTTATGCATCAGCTAAAACATACTGCATTACATTAATTGTCTGTTTTTATCAGACACATTCTGGATAAACCCTCAATATAAGATCATGCTGCTGGAGGAAGATGATGATCCTGAGGATGATGAGGTGGCCTGCAGCTTCCTGGTGGCCTTGATGCAGAAGGACAGGCGACGTTACCGCAAGCAAGGGCAGGATATGCACACCATTGGCTTCGCTTTATATGAGGTTGGAGGACAAAAGCTGAGATACAACAGTAACACACTTAAATATAATTAAATATCATTATTTTGACTCATTTATTGTCTTTTATTCAGGTACCAGAAGAGGTATTAAATATTTTCAGTATTAATTTAAGGTGAAGTGTGTCATTTTTTTAATGTTAAAATACTTGTAATATGCAGAGACTTTAATTTAGCCATTTTTGGTTGATTTTCCTTAAATGTATAAAGACTGTTTCTCTGTGGTGTTTTCAATACATTGCTCTGTTTGTTTGAGTATTTTGGCCAACCCAGCATAGCAACAGTGGCTCAACCAATGGCGTGAAGTTGGGGTGTAGCTATGTTTGGCTGACCAATGACAGACAGGGAAGTGTTCAGGAAACCTGTTGGAAAACAACCATTTTTTTTCAAACCTGTTTGGTTATGCAGAAATTACACACTTCACCTCTAAATTACATTCAATTTCTAATTGTTTTGAAAGCGAACAACGTGATATAAGCTCTTTCTTCTGTTTCTTAGTTTCGTGGTTCCCAGAGCGTTCATCTCAAGAAGGACTTTTTCTTGCGTCACTCATCCTGCGCACGCTCAGAATCCTTCATTAACCTGCGGGAAGTCAGCACACGACTGAAGCTGCCACCTGGCGAGTATCTCATAGTCCCTTCAACTTTTGAGGCTGGAAAAGAGGCCGATTTCGTGCTGCGAGTCTTCACTGAGAAACAGTCAAAAACTCAGTAAGTAACTCAACTGTTCAACTAAATTAAACAGAGATATAAATATTTTTGTATGTAATTTTTTTTTGACTAGCTTATGTGCTGTTATTTTTTAAATTGTGCAGCATCACTTTTATAGAGAACAAATGTCTTTCTTTTTTTTTAGAGAAATGGATGATGAGATTTCATTTAACCTGGAAGATGAAGTAAGGATTTTTCTGTTATTTAAATAACACTAAAATAACCTTAGCTACCACATGGCTCTGACCTGAAAACCACCAACAAAACTCATACTGCTCACATTTTCTTCAAAAAAACTAAACAAAAAAACTTCAAAATGTCTTATCCACAGGAGGTTTCAGAGGAGGGCATAAAAGACTCTTTTAAAAAACTGTTTGCGCAGCTGTCTGGAGAGGTGTGTTTCTATCTGTGTGTTTTCATTAATATCATTGTGTATTCCATTAGATTAAACTTGATCTAAACTCTCTTGTAGGACATGGAGATTTCAGTTCATGAGCTCAGGACCATTTTGAACCGAGTGGTTGGCAAACGTAAGCTCAACTGACATTTTTAAGTGTTCACGTCTGGTCTGTGTCTATGTGTACTTGAGAAATACCTCTGCTCTTCTGTGTTCTTCAGACAGAGACTTAAAGACAGATGGGTTCAGTTTGGAGTCGTGTAGGTGTTCAAAAGAGTAATTATTTTAGGAATCAGGCTTCACTGGTTGCGATTTATGTTTTAATTCGCCAAAAAGAACCAGTTCATAAGAATAATTTGTTTGTGATAATCAGGCTACACTCGTCAGTCGTCACCATGTATGCTTTTGAGTCACTTAAAAGAACCGTTCATAAAAGTTTGTGAATCGGACTACACTGATGGAGCTGTATGTTTTTGATTTACTAAAGTGAACCGGCTCATACCTTTACAGATATGTTCTCACGCAGAGACTGTATTGAGTAAATCGATTTTAGGATTTCAAATTAAGTTTGCATTTAATCTAGTGATGGGATAAATTAACGTATTTGACGCTTTGAATCAACAACCAACTGCTTTGCAAAATGATTCACTGTTTTGAAGTTCTGTAAATACCACACGCTGGCGAAGCCTGCTGGTCAAAACTGTGTAAATGCAACAAAAACTCATGCCAAAACATGCATAAAAACAGCTTTTACAAACGCACTGCAATTGTTTTATTGAAAGTATAATCTATTAAATGCAATTAATCATCTAATGTCATTAAATACGGAGTGTCTGTATAATATGTGTTCTTATTCATTTTCAGGGTTTTGTTTGTTCTATGGAGGGCTTGGCTAAACAGGCCAAAAAGAGACTATGAACTACTACTCTTCCTTTAAATGATAAATTTGTTGCATTAAAAATGTCTACATATGTATAAAACTGATCCAAGATTGTTAGATTAACCAGTGAAAATCGATCATTTTACCATGCCCTAATATTGTGCCTTTACTTTGTCTTCAGGTTTTAAACTCAATAACAAGCTACATCAGATAATTGTGGCGCGATATTCTGATGGAGATACGATTGACTTTGATAACTTTGTCTGTTGCCTGGTCAAACTGGAGGCCATGTTCAGTACGTCATTTACACATTCTCTTTTTGCAAAAAAAAAGTTGATTTGCTAATGTTTCACTAAAATGACTCATTAAACATGTCGTCTTCAACAGGGACTTTTAGAGAGCTGGACAAAGAGGTTTCAGGCATCGCAGAGCTCAGTGTTAGTGAGGTGGGTCATTTCTTAGCTTCTGTTCACCTATACTTTTTAAAATGGTGGAACATTACATTAGTAATTCATTAAAACCTAATACTGTATATTTTCGCAAGAAAAGTAAATAAAGTCATTAGCTCTTTTGCTCTCTCCTACAGTGGCTGTACCTGACCATGTGTGGTTGATGTGTGAAGATCATATCGTGCTGGACTAGAAGGGACAAAATTACTCCCTCAACTGCAGCTTTAAGCCATTACACCCAAAGATGCTTGAGCAATTCAGTACATACTGCCTTAAACACATTCCCCATCACATGAGCCTATGGCACTATATGCTTTTTGATTGAAAAAGGGATTTCCTTATTATGCAAGATGCGTTTATCCATTATGAACCACTAAATGTTAACGGAAAAATATATTCTAGCATTTCAGAGAGCAACTTAACACAGCTTTATGATTAACTGCATGCTACTAACCGTATGCTGTAGGTTATTTTTCTGTACCTCGCATATGTAGCTTAACCTAGAATTTGAAATTTACACCGTTACAGCCTTGATATTTAATTTTTATTTTATCCTGTCAGTGTATGATTTTGATGGCATTTATGATCACTGTGATTTGCTGTGCAATTATTTATATAAAAACAACTTGAGATCTTATAGGATATTCAAGGAATTGTGCTACACTAGATATTTTCTTTTATGCTGCTTCTTAATGAAAGGAAATGAAAATAAAGTTTAAATTTACCTTCTTGGTACGTTAGCATTTGGTTGATTTTGTTGGCCTTGACTGATCAAACACAGAAGGATGGCAGTGCACGGCTGGGAATTGTGGAGTTCCAGATTCTATGGAATAAAATTAGGAAGTGGTTGGTGAGAAACTGACTGGTGCATCACAAGTCACATAACCTTCCCTACATCCTGTGGGTAGTATGGTGGCAACTCAAACTAATTTTTCTCATTTGCAGGGCATTTTCAGACAGTTTGATCTGGACAAATCCGGCACAATGAGCTCGTATGAAATGCGCCTCGCCGTGGAGTCAGCTGGTAATTAAGAGTTTTTAATGTTGTGTTAATCTTCTGAAAATCTTTGCCCATGGCATGTTTTGGTTACATAAACCGGAGGAGCATCGATCCAGATTTGATTTGACAAGCTCTTAATTCTTTTTTTTTTTATTCTAAATCATTTTGTTTCAATTCAGATTCATTTATATTTCAGTCACAATTATACTTGAATATGTCTTGATTCACTAAAAAGAACACGTTCAAAAGAGTAATTATTTTAGGAATCAGGCTTCACTGGTTGCGATTTATGTTTTAATTCGCCAAAAAGAACCAGTTCATAAGAATAATTTGTTTGTGATAATCAGGCTACACTCGTCAGTCGTCACCATGTATGCTTTTGAGAAAAAAAGTGTTGTTTTTCTTGCAATTCTTAGTCTAAGTCTCCCAATTCAGACTTTTCTCACATTCCATAGAGTACGAACTACAAGATGCAAACTTGCAATTCTGAGTTGATATCTCCACACTTTGACTTTTTATAGCAAAAATTAGTTTTCATACAGGCACATTTTTTACCTGTGATGGAAAAATGGCTTCCATAGTGTGTATAAATATAGAATTCTCAATAATACAAAATGTTTCCTATAATATATATATATATATATATATATATATATACACGCACACACATAATTTATAGAGATTTATACACGTATGATAGACAGATAGACAGACAAATAACCAAGAATCCAAATCCGTGGCGGTGCAATTTAAAATGTTATATCTCATACATACACAATACAGAGTCCATTCGTTCACACATACAGTTCAGTCTGCGTGTTCTCAAATGGTAGCTACTCCTTTGTCTTGGTCTCTTTGCTCTCTCTGAGTCTCAGCAGAGTGGCGTCCGCCTCCAGCAGCGTCGTATCGATGGTCGCTCCCAGGAACCGCGAGGTCAACTCTATATCTTCCAGTCTCAGCCTCCCCCTGCTTCCCCGCTGGTACTTCTGCCCGTCCGTGGAGGGCCTCTTGCACACACAGTGGAACTTTCCGCCAAAATCGATATACAGATCGTCATTGACGATATGAAAGATTTTCCCGATGACGATCTTGTCTTTAGCCGGACCCATCTGCATGAGCGCGGAGTGCCGCAGGAGCGATGCGAAGGAGGTCTCGTCTCTGGAGTTCATCCGCGCCGCTGCGCTCTGATCGCCGCTCTGCTGCAGGTCCGAATGCAGCTCATATGCGGCAGCAAACCCGCTCTTCACTCTCTCGGGTGATTTATCATCTCCTCCGCTCGCATCGGAGCTGTATAATGGCCTGAGCGTGATATAAACGCAGTGCTTTGGCAGTAAAGCTGATCTTGAGCTCACGTTGTGCATCACCTTGCAGAGCGACGCCATGTTGAAACGTCATACGCAGCAGAGAACGCTGGGAACATGTCAAAATAAGAACTTACATAACACTGAGGGATATTGATGGGAAACGTGGGATTTTCACTAAAATGCTTTTAAAGTGGTATTAGATTCATGCTGCTCGTTACTATGCAAAAAATATATAAAACTATTCTAGTACTACTAATAAAATATTACATCGACAAAATATCCTATATCAACAAAATAAAATTTTAAAAAGGCAGCGTGAGTTTACCGTCTTAAAAGATTTGCAAATATTATAAGATAAAATAGCTTGGATATATTGCTCAATTTCTCTATTTGATGGTTTCATTTACAAGGATGAATGTGGGACTTGACTAATTCTCTCGGCTTCCGTATTTAACGCAATGCGTAACAGATTTTTCCGACCATGACTGCACAACAGCAATGTACTGTTGGTGACGCTACACATTTAGATTGTTATGCGCCAAAAAACTAAAGAAGAAGAAAAAGAACAATTTTCCGGACGTTTATGAGCACGTCTTCGAGAACAGAGGAGAAGAAAACATGGAGCTCTTTGTAATTTCACCAAATTTGAGGTTTATTAACCCAACTGTCGCCCCGGGCTCGACTGTCAGCGATCTCATCGAGCATTTGACCGTTAAAGAGGTGAGTCGATCAGCGGTTACATTAGTCAAACGTTCATGCGATCTGAACTCAGCGAATGTGCTGCTGGTCATTCAGTTTGATTTCGATGAATATGGTTAAGATGACTTAAAATGTGTTTTATTTTCTCTCAGGGTGTCTCTTTCACGGATTTCTATGTGAAGAGTAATGGCCGAGTATCTCCCAGTAATGAGTTGCTACGGTCTGGAGTTGTGTACCGTGTGGAGCCTCGGTTATGTGGAGGAAAAGGAGGTAAACAGATTAGTCTACTCTGTCTAGAACATCAACGTTTATCTTTTTGAAGCTTGTAGATATTAGAATATGATGGATGATTAATATTTGGCTAATTGTTATGTGGAATTAAAGGAGAGTATAATGATTAGGGTATTCTTTGGTATAAATATATCCCCATTTTGGACACCTTTACAGTTTGGAACTTTCTAAAAGTATATAAAAGTTATGATAGAGTTCCATTAGTGTTTATTTTCTCTTTCAGTGTTACTTTTTAATTTATTGAATTTATCTAAAGCTTTGAGCATTTAAAAGTTATTAATAAAGATTTTGTTCTTTTAATATGTTTTAAACTCATTTGTTTTCTAGGATTTGGCTCTATGTTGAGGGCCCTCGGTGCACAAATCGAAAAGACCACTAATCGTGAGGCCTGCAGAGATCTGAGTGGAAGAAGACTGCGCGACGTCAATCATGAGAAGGAGTAATGATGATTACCGTATCCATTTTAGCATGCTTGTTTGATTATGTCTTAATTTTTGTTTTATGGATTAATGCACCATTAGGTCACGTTATTTCATGAATAATTGAATTTGTATGTGTTTGTATGTAGAATGGCAGAGTGGCTGAAAAAACAGGCGAATCGAGAGGCAGAGAAGGAGCAGCGTCGCCTGGAGCGGATTCAGAGGAAATTGGCTGAGCCTAAACATTATTTCACAGACACTAATTATGAACAGCAGTGCCATGACCTCTCAGAGAGACTGGAGGACTCTGTACTGAAAGGTACCTTGAATTCATATATATATATATATATATATATATATATAAATAAATAAATAAAATTAGATATATCTACTGTCTTGTGGTAGTGCTAGGACACATTTACACACCGAAGAAAGATAAATAGCAATAAACAGCATTATCTACATATTTAGTTTCATCCTATTGAGTGAATTATTTTGATTTTGTTCACTACAAGGATTTGTGCAGATTAATGCACTGATTTGTTTCACTTCAGTGACTTTCTCTGGGTTAAACCACTGCACCCCATCCAAGTCTTGATACAAGTCTTTTGAAGATATTGTTAAAAAAAAATTTTTTTTTTAAATACACCACCTAAATTCACTTAAATGAATCACACTTTTAATCATAATATTTTATACTAAGATTTAAATCAGAGAATATATACATATATTTTTAATAATTAGTATTATCATGATTATAACAGTATTATAATAATTATATTCATTAAAATTAATTTATACATAAGTATTATAATTAGAATGTATAATTAAGTTAAATATTATTATTATTAATGTTGCATATTGTAAATTAAAGTATGTTACCCTACCCTAATTATTCTTGACAGTAAAGGTAAAAGTTGAAAATAAAATTGGCTATCCTTCAGGCATGCAGGCTTCCTCTAGTGGTCTCGTCAAGGCGGACGAGGGGCCGAGTCACAAGCGTCCAACACCAACAGACAGCCAAAAGAAAGCAAAGAAGAAATGTTTCTGGTGAGCTGATTTCACATGTGAAGAAAATGCTAATCTTGCGGACTAGAATTACAAAATTGCTAATTGTAATATGCCTTTCTTTATATTTAATAGGACTGGCCTTGGAGGACTGGAGGATGTGGGCAGCTCTGATGAAGGAAGTGAAGACAGTGACCACGAGGTCTCTCCATCCACCTCTGTGGCTTCATGTAATTCAGATGTTCCCAAACCAGCTGTGCCGCCTTCTGCCACCAGAGAGAGTGAGAGGACAGACCCTCAGGACCAGCCCAGCAGCTCCTCCTCCCAGAGTCCCGCACCGAGCTACCCAACACCGGTGGAAGAGGAGGAGGTTCAGAAGGAGGCCGAAAAAGAGTGTACAGCTGAAACCAGCCAAAACGCCAGCACAGAAGAGGATAAATCGCAGGTTGCGCCCACAGAAGCACCAAGCGGCCCAGCCGAGAGCAGTCAGGCACAGGAAGAGGTGAGATGTCCTGCTTCTGATGTGGATATTCATGTTGGAAATGTTTTTTGATAATACTGACCTGTCTTTCGTTCCCTTCAGGCGGAGGGACCGTTGGATCTGCTATCTGTGAGTGGGCCGGAGCAGCTGGAGGCTTTGGGTCTGGAGCGGCTGAAGAAAGAGCTGATGGAACGAGGGATAAAGTGTGGAGGGACACTGCAGGAACGGGCTGCGCGTCTGTTCTCCGTCAAAGGACTGAGTCCAGATCAGATTGACCCTGCGCTCTTGGCCACCAAGGGCAAGAAGAAATAAGCTGCGTTTCTTAAGCCAGTGTTTTTGACCTGTTTTTCTTAGCTTGTGGTTGGTATGTCTGTATTTATTTTTAAAGTTACCGTTTATAAAAATCCCCAGTTTGGGATAATAATGAGTGCTAGATTTTTTTTCTCCTCAAATTAGAATTACATTTCTAGTCGGATACAAAGAATTTGGATTGAACTTTAAAGTTGAACTTTAATACACAATATATGGCATTTTATTTGTTGTTGTTTTTTTTTCTTTTGGTCTGTTAGTAAAACATGCCAAGTAACGTAAGGTGAAACTCGGGTTAACTTTTTTTGTAATCTGTACAGCAAACTCTTTGATAATTCAGTCATTGTAAATAGCTATTTTGATTCATACAGAGACATTATGGGAATCAGTCATATGTTTATGATGTGGGTGGGAAGTTATTCAACGATTCATCTATTTTCTAACAGCTAACCAACAGATTGTTCACAGTATTTGATTGTATACGTGATCTGGTCCATTTCTTCTTGACTTTATGGTTAAGTAAAATAGTGTTGCACAATTTTGTGTCCTGTTTGTTGTTGTTATTACTCGGTATCATGTATCTTTAGTGTATAGAATGTGAAAATAACCTTTTATTTCCGATAATCATTATATAGAAAAATACTTAGGCATGCACAACATATCTGGTTTCTGATGCAGAATAGGGTTTGATCAAAATTAATTTATAATTTTTTTTTGTGTAAATGTAGATGCATTTTCCATCAAATGCACTGATATCTGGTTATGATGAAAAGCATGAAACTAAAAAATAATAATATGTAGGTCTAAACCTCCACAATAAATCAACACAATGCCATCCTGAAGAAAAGTTACAAATTATGCAAACAAAAATGACTTGGGGTGCTATTTAATCAAGATTTAGGGGAACTTTCGTAAGTCCTCCGAAACATCAGATGGCGATATCGAGCCCCGTATCGCTTGAACACATTCCGCGGAAGAAAACGCTGTTTTCATGCAGTTTGTGGAGTAGTTCTGAGCTTGTCGTAGTGTTACCGATTCATATGTACATATTATGCCTATTATTAGTATATATCTGAAGCTGTGGAAATAGTAATGGCGTTTCCGCAGCCGCGTCCTCAAGTGCCTCAGTTGCCGCAGCATCTTCTGCGGACTATAGAGTGTCAGCAAGGCGCCGTGAGAGCCGTGCGCTTCAACGGTAAGGCCATATTATTAACATTATTATCCACATTATCCATATCCATTATCGCACATAGTATTATTAAATAAAAAATGTTACTAGCAGTTGTCATTAAAAATGTTCAACCCAAAAGAGTATATATAGACTTATAAAATGTCCCCCCCCCGGTAATCACTAACGATTCTAATTGGTTCTTCCAGACTAGCGCTGAGAAAAGTAACAGTTACCACGTGATGCTGCTGTTTCATACCTGCATTATAACACTTAGAAAGACCTTGACCTGAATATACAATGAAATGGTTCTTGTTTCTAAATTTTACACGTTCCTCCAGCTGATGGGAATTATGTGCTGACCTGCGGCAGTGACAAATCTCTGAAGCTGTGGAGTGCGAGTCGCGGGACTCTGCTGAAGACTTACACCGGCCACGGATATGAAGTGCTGGACGTGGACAGGTATGTTTCTGCGTTAGTGACAAATCTCTGAAGCTGTGGAGTGCGAGTCGCGGGACTCTGTTGAAGACTTACACCGGCCACGGATATGAAGTGCTGGACGTGGACAGGTATGTTTCTGCGTAACATTATACTGAAATACCATCGCTGTTGTATTTGGTTTGCTTAATTTCACTTACCTTTCGCAGTTCTTTCGACAACAGTCAGCTGTGCTCCTGCAGCTCGGATAAAACCGTCATTCTGTGGGATGTGGCGTCTGGTCAGGTGACCCGCAAACTTCGCGGGCACGCCGGGGTGAGACCATTACCGTTGCAGTTTCCCGCCAAGAAAGCCCGGCTCACACTGTGCGATTTTGGCCACGATTTGGTTGTCTGAGACAATTTTTGGAAATCCTAAAAGATTTCTATAATCTTAGGCTACAATCTGTTGTCTTTGATTGCTGGTTTTACATGTTCACCGACAGCCGATTAATGGTCGTTGCAATAAATTTTTCCCTCTGATTAAATTCTGGCAGTGTCAGAAGATTTCAGACACTTTCCTGCAGTGTGACTTCTCCTACGACCGCCATCAAACCAAGAACCAATAGGAGCGCTGAACCTGATAACGCAATTAGCGCGGCAACTTCAAACCACCTCAGTGAAAATGTCAAAATGAGTCAGGTGGACAGTACAACACGTTTTTTTTTCAAAAGAGTTTATTTAAGGGGCAGGATGTTTAAACTCGAATAACAAAATTACCTCAAATTCGCTCTGTAGAACTGGAAGTCCATAAAGACCTCTTTTGTCCAGCCATGACTTGCTCCACACACGTCATCTTCGTTTTTTTTGTGGTTTTTATTATCAAGGCATGTAATTAACAAAACTAACGCTACATATTGCTTTTGTTTGCTAGCTACCATTATAGCTAGAGAACACGGGTCACGGATTGATGGCGTAAAATTCCGGACAAGTCTTCTTGGCTGGTCCGAAATCGCCCCCTATACCCTTAAATAGGGCACTATTTGAGGGAACAGCTATTTTTAGTGGTGTCCGAAACCATAGTGGACGTTCTCGAGTGCACTCATTCAATCCCACAATGCACTGCAAAAACGAGTGTACAACTGGTGCACGCTCAACGGCTAGAGAATGCCCATAATGCACCATGAGAGTCACGCGCCGAATGAATTCCCGCATCTCGCCAGAAGATGGCACCCGCAACTGAATAATCAATCCGTTCATTTTTACAAAGCACACATCCATGGCGTACAGCATAATGTACAACACGGGTATAAATTCATTGTAAATTGATTATTAAATTGTTTGATTAGGGTTTATACATAATTTCCGTGACAGAGTTCAAGATGAATCCTTTAATCTTACTACTGGAGCTGCTAGTTTCAAATGATTAATAAACAGCAAGCACAAACTATGCAAAAGCGGCATTCCTTCCGGTGCACTCAGTGTCCGAATTCACTACTCGTTTTCAATCACTCCTTCTAGTGAACTGAATTAGTGTCCTAATGTAGGGAATAGTGAATGAGGGTATAGGGGGCGATTTCGGACACAGCCCTTGTGTACGTCTGTTTTTGTCGCGTCTTGAATGTCGTACAGTCTGACATTATGACAACTGAGATCCTACAGTGTGACATGGGGATCATTTTCATATAATGTGACAAGCAACAATTTGCAAAGGACTAATAAAAATTGCACAGTGTGAGCCCGGCTTAAGACAGATATCTCAATTGCAGTATATTATTGTAAATAAATATAATATATTTTAAATAGGCGATTTCACTAAAAATATTTTGTGCTCGTTCCCTAGAAAGTGAACTGTGTGCAGTTTAATGAGGAGGCTACTGTGATGCTGTCTGGTGAGTCAGACTTGGCTTTAATCATATGGGAATAATGACGGCCGAATCTCAATCTCACTATTTCTTTATGTTTCAGGCTCCATTGATGGGACTGTTCGGTGTTGGGACACTAGATCCAGGCGGTATGAGCCGATCCAGATCCTGGACGAGGCTCAGGATGGCATAAGCAGCCTGAAAGTGTCAGAGCATGAGCTTTTGATTGGGTCAGAACCAAACTTAGGATATGATGTTGGAATATAAGTAATCTGAGGTTTGAATTTGTAGAAGTGACTGTATTGTGTTGTATATCAGGTCTGTGGATGGAAGAGTGAGGCGATATGATCTACGAATGGGGCAGCTTCATGTCGATTTCATTGGAAGTGAGTTATTTCACACATGAGGGAATGAGAACACGCTTTTTGCACTGTGTGATGTCTTAACATGCATCTGTTGTGTGACTGTTTTGCTGCACAGGTCCCATCACTTGTGTGTGTTTCAGTCGGGACGGTCAGTGCACACTTAGCTCTAGTTTGGACTCTACGGTGCGCCTGCTGGACAAAAGCTCAGGGGAGATGCTGGGGGAGTATGTACAACACAGATCAATCTACTACATAAATACAATAAAACTAGTTTTAAAATTATCAATACTAGTTGCCAGAGGTCCAACATATGGAGAAATTTGAGTGCCATTTAAAAATAATGGATGTAGATACATCACTCTGACAAATGACAAATAAATATGTACATTTAAAACATTTAAAAGTAACAGTAGACTTTTAAAATGATTTAATTTGTTAAAAACATGGTTAAATGTAATAATAAAATAACTTTTCAAAATTACAAAAAAATATGCTTTAAAAAAAATATAAACATGCCAGTAAAATGAATTAATAAATCATTTTTCAAATTAACAAATAATTATGTATATTTAAAACTGTTTTTATTAATTAATTTTAATTGATTATTAATTCAAAATTAATTCATTAATTTTATTAATGCTTAAAAGCATAAACAGCAAAATTAATAAATCACTTTACAAATGAACAAATAAAGTAAACTGTGATATATACTTATTTTGAAAAAAAGGTGTATTTAAACATGACAGTAAAATAAATAAATCACTTTTCAAATTAACATACGTATTTAAAGCGGTTTATTTTGAAATGTTTAGTTAAATGTAACAGTAAAATAAATTTACATTTCATACTGAAAAATAAATACTTTTCTAAAACAATGTAATTCATGTTAAAATGTTTGTTATTTGGAACAATAAAATAATACACTACATTAATGTATTATAATGTGTGTGTCTATGGTGTCCCTTCACAGGTACTCCGGTCATGTCAATAAAGGCTATAAGCTTGACTGCTGTCTGTCTGATAAAGACACGCATGTTCTGAGCTGTTCAGAAGATGGCCATGTTTACTTCTGGGATCTAGTGGAGGTGGGCAGAATAAGTCACATGACCAACAGAGAAAATAGTGACAAAAAAGTCGTTAAATATGAGCAATAAAGCTGTCATCCTGTAATCTCTACTTGTAGGTCTCCCTGACTTTAAAGCTGCCTGTTGGGAAAGCTGTCGTCCAATCACTGTCCTTTCATCCAACGGAGCCCCGCCTTTTGACTTCTATGGAGGGGCATGTTCAGGTGTGGGGGGCGGAGCCAGAGACTGCAGCTGTGGAAGACAGTTAAGCTGAGTAGTGTGTGTTGAACACCAAACACATGAGCAGGACTCATTGAAGATGAAGTGCGAATTACTATTTTGTATCAGTTTGATTGTTATACATATTTTGTATGTTAATAAAAAAAGCTTAATAAAATATAAAAAATATACTTCATTTTTTAAAATTGCAAATAGTTATTTTTTTAAAATATCTTAATAGCTATTGCTCACAGGTTTATATACAGTTCATTATTGTAATCAGAGTATAGTTAGTTAACCAAACAAACAACTTCTGTTTGTATATTTAATCAGAACTGTACATATTTACAAGAAGAAAAATAAAGATTAATAATTTATTGGGTAGTAAAAATGGTTTTCAAATAAATAAATAATTTATTAACACATAAATATCTTCCATTTTTGGTTCAGATGGACAATTCGTCAGATCAATCTTGACTCAGAATTGGCCACTCAAACACGTCATTGTGTTGTCATTAACCAAAACTGAACGTTTTAACATTCTCAAACACAATATTAGCTGATGTCATCAGAGAAAGCGACATACACATCTTGATACATTTTAATACATACATATTATTACTTCCTGAATTAACGTACCTTAAACATCCCTTATTTTACTTCAAGGCACTTTGTACAGTCTCTAAACCAACAGACAGTCTTTGGCTGGCCACCATCGTCTCTAGCCCATACAGACGCACGCAGCAGCGGAGAGTTTCTCCACTTTGTGCCAGCGATGGTGGTTGTCGAGAAAGGCTATGTCTTCGTGGTGTGTGGGGCGACAACATGGCTGATGGTGCCAATGGCCGGTGTATTGAAGGATGCCGCTTTGCAGGAGATTGGCGAGCGTGAGGTCGTGGTTGGAGGCGAGCCGAGGACAGGTCCCGCTGCAGTACTTAAATAGCACTGTCTCGTCCGAGTCATAGCCCAACCTGAGGTCTCGTACCTGCAGCAGGATGGAGTGCAGAGCACATGGGGACTCAGCGCTGCGGGGCAACCGAATCGCCCTTTCCAACTGCCTCCCTGAACCCTCCTTTGCCTCACCATCACCTCCTCTACGTTCTTCATCACGGAGGTCCGTGTCTGAAAAAGAATGAGCAAAAAATAAATACAATTTTGCATTCTGTTTGTGCAAAACAATGTTGTAAGAGGTTGCCAGAAAGTTGATAAATGGTTGTTAATATGTTTGGATGTTTTTTTACTGCATCGATATGTGGTTGATAAGGTGTTGTCGGAGGTTGCTTACTGGCTCAAATCATAAGAGTCATAAGAGTGTTTTTAGTGTAATTTTTAGTAAATATTTTCAGCCAGTTTGTCTGCCATACGAAAATCATCTGATAACTTAGAAAAGTAAAAGCCCAACTCTTTCCAGCAAAGTCTCATGATTTGAGATAACATTTATGTTAGTAGGACTCGAGAAGATATTTTGGTGCATATTTAACTGTTTTTGTCCATACAATGAAAGTCTTTATTGTATGAACAAAAAACCCACTGATACATTTTCTTATATCTTTTGTGTTCTACAGAAGAAAAAATCCTATAATAAGTTTTCAGAGATTTAGTTGCCCTCTCCCCAAAGGGCATGACCCCTAATCTTACCCTGTAGCGTTCTAAGCCAGTGTCCTTCTCCAGCCTGAACGCAAAACAGCAGAACAGTGACCTTTAGTAGCGAGTGCATCGTTGTTCCTTTTCTTTGCCTGGTTTTCCTTCTTCAGGATGAAAGCGCAGGTGATGCTGAGATGCGCCAGAGTCACTGTCTCTTTTATAGCCATCTACGCAGGTCAGAGCTGTTGGGGTGGAGGGGATGGTGGGGTGCGTCCAGGATGGGAGGGACGCAGAATAACCCTTCCGCTCCCAGTCTCTCACCTGGTCTCAAGGCTATGATTGGAGGCAACTTTAAGTCCACTGGTATTTCTCCAAGTCTTGAGAAGCTGAAAGTATAAAAAATGGGGGTAAATTGCTTAAAGCTGTGGGATGTCTCACATCTTGGAGGTTGAGCCAATTAAGCACATGGAATTGGCATTTTTTACACATTTTATGCAATATAATGAACACCAGAAAGCAAGGGTTAACTGCATGAAGGATGGAAGAAAGGTCCATAATTAAAAAGAACTAAATAGATGACAGAAGTTATTTGAATGGAAATTCCAAGAATAATGGCTGTCTTCAGATACATAAATTTGGGGATTTTGTTAAAATGTGATTTTTTTTTCGCTATCTACATTCCTATGAAGACATGAATCCTGCAGCGCTGGAGGAATAACTGAATGCGCATGGCTTGCAGTGATATCTCGGCTTAGCCGTCCTGTGCTATTTGAGTGAAGGGTTTTGTACAGCAGACCCCAAATGTATTTGGACACTTAAGTAACACTTAAACTTTCATTGCATTAGGTAACAAAATATCAAACAAATCTGTGTTTGCAAACAAACTTTACAGTTACTTTGAAACAACTGTACCCATGGTGATTTTTATTGGATGTATGAAAATGGATGTATTCTTTTTGTGTCCTGGAATCGATCAGTCTTCTTTTTGTGAAATATATTACTTTAAAAGTCTGTATTATCTTTCTTCAAAATAAATTCCATTGGGTTGGATATTTTGGTTTTGATATTTCTTACACAATGGCATTCAAACATTTTTGTGTCTCTCAAGTGCCCAAATATATTTTGGGGCCACTGTATGCAAGAGGATCTTACACTTACAATTTTAAAATATAAAGTGCACATTTATTTACAAATTTAAACATTCTTTCAAACACAGAATGTTTCTCAGTGTTGATAAACTGCATTATGACATCTAAATCTAAATTAATATAGACCCTCAAAAAGGTAACAGGGTTGGCATTTTACAGTTTTCAGTTAGATATTTCCTGCTTTGTTCTTACCATGATGATACTCCCAGGTTATTTGTAGAAAAAGATTTGAATCCTGACATAAATAGAAATGTATCATTAGAAAATGATGGTAACAGGGTTGACACAGTAAGCTTGTCCCATATTGACAAAACAGGAGCCATTTACTTGCTTTTACAGAGTTCACTTCCTAAAAGCAGGATGTAATTTTTATAGAATTATTGTAACAAAAGAGTTATGATTCAAACAGTTTTACAGTTAGACATTACTTGTTTTGTGCTGAACATTATAATAATCCAGAGTTCTTAATATAATTTAATAGACATAAAATAAAATTTTCATTTTTAGTAATCATTTACTATTTCAAATCATGGTAACAGGGTTGACATTCTACACTTGCTTTCTAATAGTAAAACAGGAGACATTTATTTGACTTTGCAGAGTTTACTTCCTGAAAGTATGATGATGTAATTTTGAAATAATTATTGTAATAAAAGGGAGTTATGATGGTAACATGGTTGACAGTTTTATAGTTCAATTAGTCATTACCTGCTTTGTGCTAACCGCAGTGACATTCTATGGTTCTTAGTAATTTAATACTAACAAAACTAAAATTCTTATTTTTTGTAATCATTTCCTATTTAAAAATATGGGAATTGACATTCTAAGCTTGTCCCCTATTAAAAACAGTTGACATTTACATGACATTGATTTGAGTTCACGTCACTTCCTGAAAATATTGTCATTTTGACAGATTTATTGTAATAAAATGGAGTTAGAATGGTAACAGAGTTGACATTACTTTAAGAATTGTATCTATTTTCAAACTGAACTCCACCATTTGTATATTTTCTTTCTTTCCTTACTGTAATTGTTTTACTGTTCTTGTCTGTACCCTGTACCCAGTGTACCCTGTACCCACTGTACCCAGTGGACATTATTTATTGAGAGTTTATAAGTATAAAAAGATAAATTTATGAAGCCAAGCCAGACCAGGCCTTTCCTTTAATCGCAGGTATAATGCAATGCAAATATTTAATTTATAATCTAAGGTGGTTTTATAAAATGTTCCCAAATCTTTTAGGGCAATGCCCATTCTTATTCAATGCAATTATTTTCAAGTAGAATACCGGAGACCTGGGGTTGTGTGTAGTTAAAATGTTTTCCATTCAGACACCCATCACAGTATTAAAATATGATCAATGGAAAAGGATTTCAGCCAATCGGCAGGTGGTTAAAACCTGACACAGGACCATAAAACAGTCTACTTTAAGGGAAACTTACATATCAATCTCTTCTCAGCTAGAGTCAGTCTTTATTTATAACTCTTTTTAACTCATCCATCATGATGAAGATTACAGTTAAATCAGTTTCGACTAGTGGTGCTGCCATGCTGTTGGCTCAAAGCTCCTTACTAGCTTGTTAAATCTAGACGCCTTCATCCAGACCGGAGTAAAGTTAGGGTGTTTGTCCCCAGGTATGCATGGGAGAAAGAGAGAATTAAATCCGTAAGAGGGAATGGATTTGGAATAAAATAGTTCCCTTTCAGTCTGTCACTCTCAACGTCACGTCGGATGACCGATGAAATTGGGATCTCGCTTAGAGAGACCAATCCACTTTGAATGTAAACTAAATGAGCCAATGCACATTGGCATGCAGATGCAGCGCATATTCAGCTTAGCAGATACAGCGCATATTCAGCTTTTCGCTTCGGAGCCGAGCGATCACATCGTTTTGCTCCTGACTACTCTACTGAGAGTTTGTGTTGCAGATGATCATCTCCCCTGTGCGCCTCAGCACGCTAAAAGAGCTTTTTCCCCTAAAAGAGCAATTTCGGGTGTGTCTTTTTAAAGACGACGTTGCGTGGCAAACTTGACATTACGTCTTTGTAAAGGCGATGTGGGTCTTGCTATAGACAACGTATTACCCGGGCGTTTCTGGATGCGGTTGTTATCTGGCGCTGGGTGATGGTCACGATCGCTGCCTCACGTGCCTGGGCATGTAGCACGCTGAGGTGGCGTTTGTGGATGAGTCATCTTCTCATTGCGGGAAGATGATCATCTCGGAGTCACGGGCCAAGCTCCGTTTCCTCAAGGGGGGGACTTCCGTTGCCTCTGCCTTGATCTAGTTCTCCTCATGGCGGCAGCCGGGGGGGGGCTACTTCAGGCAGTAGCGCAGGCGGGCTGAGGCACTCCACAGCCAGTTGTGCTTCCAATGGAATGTGCGTGCTCCTCCCAGCGACCATATGTCGATTGCTACATCGGAGGGTGAGCCAGAGCTTTCTGGAGAGGAAGATTCGGCTGCGCTGCTCTCCTCTGGGACTGTAGCAATGCCTGAATCGGATCCAGAAATAATGGCTATGCTTTCCCGGGCCGCCGTAGGGGTAGGGCTCGAGTGGAGACTTCCACCGTGTCCCGAGCCCTCAAGGTTGCACGATTGGTTCTTGGGGTGGTCTGCGCTGGTTCTCAGAGCCCCGCCTTTCTTCCCGGAGGTGCATGTGGAGCTCAACAGGTTGTGGACGGGACCT